GCATTTTGTTCAAGAAAAATGACCACATGAAGATAGAAGTCTACACAGATGCTGATTGGGCTAGGTGTGTTGATGACCGAAGATCTACCTCTAGATATTGTGCCTTTGTTGGAGGTAATCTGGTCTCCTGGAAGAGTAAGAAACAAAGTGTTGTTTCTCATTCAAGTGTTGAAGCTGAATATAGGTCCATGGCAAATGGTGTGGCTGAGATTCCATGGTTGAGGTCATTACTAGAGGAATTAGGTATTTGTTTATGAGAAACCCCTAATGTTGTACTATGATAATCAGGCTACCATCAATATAGCCCATAATCCAGTACAACACGACATAACTAAGCATATCGAAGTGGACCAGCATTTTATCAGAGAAAGGGTTACATCTCAAGAAGTATGCCTTCCCTACATCACATCCAACATGCAGCTTGCAGACCTTCTCACCAAGGCTGTTTCAAGAAAAAAGTTAGAAGAAGATCTATGCAAGTTGGGAATGACAAATATCTACTACTCAACTTGAGGGGGAGTGTAGGAAACTGTAGACCCCACATTAAGAGTATTTGTGTGACACCCTAAGATGTACTTAGATTTAATTGATTAGGATCAGCTTTCCTAGTAGGATAAGGATAAGTTTTATTCTATCTTATCTAGGATTAGTTATTCTATCTTATCTATGATTAGTTTTATTTTAATCTTATCTTTTATTGCCATGTAAGCATTGAAGTTCTTTTACAATTAGGAAACCATGTATATAAATTAAGGAGTGGGACGGCTGTTTTAAGCACTCCAACCATTCTCTTCTTTCAAAGCTTCTTCCACGAGTGCTTTTTCTCTATCTCTCTTCTTCTCTTCTTCTCTTCTTCTCTTCTTCTCTTTTTCTCCTTCTCTTTTATTTTTTGTTCAAAACCTAAAGAGTCTCTGTAGTTTTGTACGACTACTATGTCCATTAGTCAAATTACTGTTATCTCACTAGCATGGTGAGTTTTGAATGTTTTGAAAAGTTATGGTGAGTTTAAGAGAATTCATAAAAAGTGATGGTGGGTTTTAGACAATTTTCTATTATAATAAATACATCCCAGCTCATGCTTGGGAGTGTATATTGTTAAAATAAGTGCTTACTCGATGAAAAAGTGCAAAAGGGGTAGCATATGTATTTTAAAAGTTACGTGGTTGGCCAAGGTGGTTCAGAAAACAACAAGTACTTTTTTCAATAAGTATTCAAAAATAGGGTAAATCTCTTAAACTACCCCTATTATTTAGCTAATTGACATGTGGCACCCCTACTGTTTAGCTATTGTCATTGCTGTTAAGTGTTAACAAAGGAAACGAAATGTCAAATTTGCCTTCCACTATTCCTCAAATTCCATCCCCTCTTCTTATTCTCTTTCTCCTTCTTCCTCTGCTTATCCTTCATCCATCTTCATTTTTGTTCATGGTCTTCTCGACAGTGAACAAAGAACTACCATTGGCGTCATCGTAGACATTCTTTCAACCCTTCGTTGAGCTCCCGAGCTAACAAAGAGATATTCTTCTTCATCAACACCAAATCGGTTCCCAAATTAACATTTTTATCAAGATCAACCCTCCGTTGAGCTCCTAAGCTAACAAAGATGATGAACAGTTAAAATCTCGTCACTCCGTTGAGCTCCTAAGCTAAATGAAAAACACCATGAAAGGGCTGCAAATAAAGCTCTACAACTCTTTGTAATCCCCTCTGCTCTCTTCCCTCCCTTTTCTCTCTCATAGAGATGAAAAAAGTCTATTTTTTCTTTTTTTGAATAACAGAGATATTGGTTGGACGTGCAAGCCGAGGGGTGGGATGGG